AAGAAACTGCTAAGATGAAAGAAAATGAATAAATAAAAATAAAACAACAGTTTTAAAAAACCTGAATAATGCAGTACCTCCAGTCAGAAGAATTCAGCCCACTCAGTGAATCTGAAAACAGAATAGGCATGACATTTGCATACGATCAAACACTGTGTGCAGCTAATCTGTTCTTCAGTATTACAGAGGGCAAAAAAAAAAAAAAAAAAGTTTTTTTACAATTCCTAAAATTTGTCACCATATAATAATAAATGAACTACATTTTTCTTTGGTTTCTGCTTTTCCTCTGCTCTCAACCTCCACCTCCCCAGAGTTTTGTAGAACCCAATGGCTTCTTGTCCTTTCAATTCCTAAGTTCATTTTGCTTATAATTTTCTTCAGAGACATATCTTATATCTAATAATCAACAACCCCTTACTACTTTAATTGGTTCACCACCCAAGTGTATATAAAGTATCCCCATGGGGTCTGCAGTTGACTAGCACATCATTCTCCTTAAGAACTTAAGAACACACTGCAGTAAATAATTACCCAAATGATTGTGAGCAAATAGGGTGATTAGAAGATTTAGCTGAAAGATGGTTAAGGGATTCTTAAAACCTTCTCCCTACCATGACGGCCTTCAGGGCTCTTAGCCTAGTCAACTTTCAGTGTATTCTTTCCTGATCTTGGTTTATCATAAATTAGGTCTTTAAGAACATTTGAGCAAGTACTGAATTTCTTCACATGAACCAGAAGACATGTAGATATGTTCAAGAATGTTCACAGAGCAAATGTTCACAACAGCAAAAATTTGGAAACTACCCAAGTGTCCATCAATAGGATTCTGGAAACCTGATAAGGTGATGTGCCAACTTCGTTACCAGGTAGCACTGCCCATGCCACTGATACAGTGCTTCTGGCCAGGGGAATGGCAGCCATCTGGTGGGAAGCCATAGCTTTAGGCTTCCCCGAGGGAGGTGACTGGTAACTCAGGATGTCCCTTGTAGGGACTCTGGAAATTCTGCCTATGGAGTTGTTACAAGCGATAATGGCTCCCTTCTGGCATAGGATTCCAGGCCAGAGCTGTTCTTGCACCTGCCTACGTGGGCCCCATCTCTGTGCACCTAAGCTGTCAGCTGGAAGAGGTGGGGCAAATAGAATGGCTCTCAGACAGCTGAGTGATGGCTACAGAGATTGCTGGGAGGCAAGTCTCTGTCCTGCTGGCAAGCAGTGGTTCCTGACCTACATTCTCCCTGGGGAAACTGATCCTCGGTATAGGTCATGGGAGCTGCGTGAGTCTGAACACAAGAGTTGGACCCAAGAAGACCTCCTGGTGGGCACTGCAAATAGTGAGCTCTGGGGGTCAGATTAAGGAAAACTTCCACATTCCATGTATGTGTCTCTGATTGATGTCAATCTTTTACTATGAATGTATCATTTATTATTGTGGGTGAAAAAAAAAAAGATTAGTGAAAGAAAAGAAAAAGAAATCTCCATGAAGAGAACTATTACAACAAACTGTTCTAACAGTATATCCCCCAAGAGAACATGGCTAAACTCCACAAGAAATATGAATAAACAGGATGTAATTTTAGACATAGTGCCAACAGACCACAGGCTACAACTAAAATGGAAGTTTTGGGGTGACAAGAGATTCTCTATTTTGGTAAGCACATTAAAAATTCTTTTACATTTTGAATTCCAGTGTGCTTTTCAATATTTTGCAAATTGATTAAAATTTTAGAGCCTTGTATGACTTGGTAAATTTAATATGTTGTCATTTAAAAAAATACATCATCATCAAATATTTTGTTACCACTGCAATTAAGAGAGCAAGAATTGCTTTCTACTTCCATAGAAATAAGGAGCCCAATCTGATGAAAGAGTGAGGAAAACAAAACACCTTCCCACTTGGCTATGAACACTCATCCATGAGAGAAAATTTTCAGGATCCTTCTACATCAACTCTTCGGCTTTCCTGAAAAAGTTGTGTCTTGAACAAGTTGAGTGATTTCTAGGATGCTGTCAGGCCAAAGAGAACACTTGGAGGACGCCACTACTTCAAGAAGATTAACATCATATACAGAGATAGTAATAATATGAGCACTAATGAAAGCAATAATAGTTGACAAATACCTAACAGACACTGGTCTCAGGTGTGAACGAACGCTTAGCAAGTAAGACAATGTGATGCTCACCTGCACAAAAGAAAAACCAACTTCAAGCAAAAAAAAGACAGTTGATATTCAACCTGATGTTTAAGCTTCATCTTGAAAATGTTCAAAGGACAATGCTGTTTTCTTCTGACTGCAGTAAGATTTATCTAGATACAGAAGAACAGACTACTGTGTTTGGAGAGAGAATTTTCCCCCATTTTTGTATTATTGTTGGCTTAGAGACAGGACGTAGAGTGAAACTGCCTGGGTTTCTAGACTGGCTTCTTCCACCAGTTATGTGACACCAGGCAAGTTATTCCTCTCATTCCCAGTATGTGCATCTGTAAAATGGGGGCGGTAACAGTTCCCGCACTTCCTGTCGGGAGAGACACATGAGATGCAAAGCCTAAGGAAATCGGTCAGAGTTGTGGTTACGGAAACATGTTGGACCGGCACCACTCCTCAGGGTTTATGATCAGGATAGCTTACCTTTCAACAGGTGGTGTCTGTTTTAGAGGCTTAACACCTGGTTTCAAATGACTAGTCACGTGATCTGTCCTCTTTCAAATACATGCACACGTGTGTCTGTGGGTTCCCTCTCATAATATTTTTGTGTCTTTATGAGAGAGTAATGTATAAGTCTATAAAATTGAACTAAACATAGAAAAGCAATTTCCACCATTCTTGGTCATCATTTAGATCCTGAGTTTGTCATCTATGAATATAATAATCTGAACACTGAAACTTAGCTAGACATTAAAATGGAAATACAGGCTTTTTCTTAACTGTTCTCACAGAAGGATTTTTCTTCATTATTCTTCATCCAAACAATGGCTTGTATTTCTAAGGGAAGGTTCACAATATCTTTCTTCTTTAAACTCTAGGCTTCTATCCTTCATCTCTTTTGATATTTCCGATTGGGAGTTTAAAAGCATCCTCAAATTTAATATGTCTAAAACAGAATTCTGGATTTGAGCTCTCTACCACCCCAATAATCCATACTCCATATGGCTATTAAAATGGCTTTTTAAAAGTATAAACTGTATCACTTCATTACTTTAATATTGCACTGTGGCTTCTCATGCACTAAGAATATAGCTAAAAGCCTCATATGATCAGGTAATACCTGAATGCCTTACTGTAACACCTGAGTACAGTCCATGTCACAGTGGGAATTCAGTGATGCTATTAAAATATGCAAAATTTGTATATTATTAAAATACTGATATAGTAATTTATAACCAAGCAGTTAATGAACTGCAAAGCTCACTGTGAATACAAGCATTCTGTACATTTAATATGTACACAATACTTCTACTTTTTATTGTCAATATTGATTTGGGACATGAAGAGTAAACTGTAGAAACAAACTTAATAACTTGATTTTGATGCAATTACTTCTGGAACTGAAACCTCCTGGGAAAAATGAACTATAATTCATACTTGAAGTTCCTTCAATTTTTAATAGAATACTAGTATAATAGCTTAATAATATAGAATTCCAGAGAGAGCTTAATTCTACCTGGGCTCAAGATTCTTCTGTATATGAAGGAACTATTTTTTTTTTGAGACAGAGTCTCACTATGTTGCCCAGGCTACAGTGCCGTGGCGTCAGCCTAGCTCACAGCAACCTCAAACTCCTGGGTTCAAGCGATCCTCCTGCCTCAGCCTCCCGAGTAGCTGGGACAACAGGCAGGCACCACCATGCCCGGCTAATTTTTTCTATATATTTTAGTTGGCCAATTAATTTCTTTCTATTTTTAGCAGAGACGGGGTCTCGCTCTTGCTCAAGCTGGTTTCAAACTCCTGACCTTGAGCGATCCGCCTGCCTCGGCCTCCCAGAGTGCTAGGATTACAGGCGTGAGCCACTGCACCTGATCTGAAGGAACTATTTTATTTACAAAAAGTTATTTCTCTTTGTCCTGTATATCAGATAAGAAAGGGCAGAAGGATGGGGATATTAGGGAAACATTTCTTTATTTAATGTGAACCAAATTGGGGAACTAAATTTCTAACTAAAGTATTTTTTAGGATGTCTTAAGAAACGGTAAAAACAGTGCTGAAAAGCAACACCTTAGTGAAAGCAGGCTAATTAGACAGTGACTAATGACTGATATGCACTCAGTTCAACCCAAAATTCCCAGAAAGCTGTATCTATGCGAGGCTTCCTTTAGTTGAGGTATAATCATCATGATCATTTGGAAAATACACATTCATTCTAGGAATACTTCTCTTTTATTAAAATTATTTTAAAAACTAGCCTTTGTTCAAAAAGGAAAAGATTAATAACATATCAATACACCCTGGATATTTGATCTGATGCATAAAATGCTTTCTTGCTACTGGATAACTGCATATTTATAATACTAGCTCCCTCCACCATGGTAGGTAGCAAAATAAATCTTATGACTTGACTTCTCAGTAAGAGGAAGTCTAAGCATTGATGTGGTCTTTTCTAGAAGATAAAAGGGCAAATCTATACTGAGAAATTCATTATTACTTAATTTTAATAGGTTTTATATTTGAGAAGTTATAAGTTGATTAAAATATTTATTTAAAATTAATCATGAAATTTATGAAAAGGATGGAGTTCATTTACAGTCATTATACTATCACTTTCAAAATCTTGTCTTCAGAAAATGTTTAAAGTGTGTACAATACAAATGGAACAAAGGACAACAATTAAAAATCTATCTTTGCAAGATGAGAAACTGAAGTAAAACTTGGTGACACTTATAAGCTAATATTGAGAAAGAGAAAGCGCAAGAGCGCACACACGCAAGATGACACTGCTAATGCAATCAGCTCACTTACTTTATAAAATGAATGTTCTTAATTGGAGATAATAATTTCATAACTTACCTCTGCATACTTTAACTTCAATGTTTTATGCATTTCTCGAAAACGACTGTAACGCCTGAACACAGTCCATGTCTCATCTAGGACGGTAATCTATTAACCAGGAAAATCAAAATGAATCAGCATTAATTAGAAGAAAAAGTGACTACAACTTTTTAAAAATAATTTAAAAATTAAATTAACAAAAAGTAATTAGTATGTAAAACGTCTCCGAAGTGAAAGCATTAATCTAGCCGTATAAATAAGACTTATAAATAATGATTGCACTCTACTTAAACATGCTGCTTTGGTTCGCTCCCCAATTTTGTTATCAACAGCACGTGCCTATGTAATGTGAGGGTCAGATGGTCACCTCTTAGTCGGTTATAAAAACTGTCCTTCAGCCCTTCACTTAGGTTGTAGGAAGGAAATCCCACAGGATAACTTTTTTGTAACAATGATACACCCATATATAATGGCAGGTGTAGGTCACCAGTCACCATGCTGGACAGGAGGGGAAAAAAAAAAAAGGAGGGAGAAGGGGAGAGTAAGGAGGAGGAGAGTAGGGGTGGAGAAGGGGACAACAACAAAGGGAAGAAAAAGGAGGGAAAAAAAATCTTACTATACTTTAGAGATTGTTAGTATAAAAACAACAGATTCTGCTTTTTTTCCCATAGAATTATCAATCCAGCCCTTAACAGGGTGAGCAGATGAAACTGCTACACATCAGCTCTCAAACGTCACAGTGACAAGTAAAGGCTGGTGGCCACATTAGCCATTACGATTGTGAAGCACAGGCTAATGAGTCTCAAATTCCTATCTCCACTTTTCTTCCCACTTTTCTTCTGAGCTCCAGACCCATTCATGTACCCAACTCGGAGGCTTCTTTCTCTAGATATTACATAGGAGCCTCCAATTTTACTTGTCTAAAACTGTCCTTGACATAACCTGGTGCTCTCCACCGCAAAACATTCCCCCGCCACCTACCACAGGATGCCAGTGGCAGAGGCTGAAGTCCCCGACCTCCTTTGTTTTAACATCCCCACGTTGAAATAAGCGCGAGGTCTTGCTCCTTTCACCTCCCCAACATCTCCCGGAGCTTTTTCCTTCCCCAGCCTTTGCCATCAGCGCCATCTGACCCTAAGGTCTCATGTGGACCTGTGACAGTCTCACCCAACTTTCTATACCCACACTTGTCCCTCCAGTCCCTTCTCTGCAGGACTAACAGGGGATCTTTTTAAAAGTCAAATCTGATCGTTTGACTGGGGAGGTGTCCCTCTCCTCCTTAAGGACAGCTTCACGTTGCTCCCAGAAAGAGACCTACATTTTTGACTCAACACCCACAGCCTGCCCCTGCCAGGTGTCCTCACTCCTGCTGTGCTCCCTGCTGGCACATGCTTTGTCCCACCTCAGGGACTCTGCAGGAGCCATGCCCCTACTGGGGAATCTCATCCTGCACATTTTCAAGTGCAGTAATTCAGCCTGATCCCCCTGAATGGAAGTCACGGGGCCATCGGCAGGAGAGCAGAAGCAACATGGGAGAACAGCCAGGCGGGCAGCTTCGTAAGGAGGGAGTCTTGAACTCCTGGCCTCAAGCAACCCCCCACCACAGCCTCTCAAAGTGCGGGGATTACAGGCGTGAGCCACTGCGCCCGGCCTTAGGAGTGAGTCTTGAGTCCCAGCCATTCTCCGGTTCATTCATTCCCCAAAGTGGCAAACGAGATGATTCGGGGGTGTACAGGGATGTACATTTTAAATGTTCCATTACTCTGGGTCTGTATTCGTTTTTTGACAATAACTTTTTAATTGTGGCAGCTTTCTTCTTAAGAGTTTCCTTGAAAAAGACATTTCCACAAGAAAACAAAGGTGAGCGCATTTACAGAAAATCGTTAAGTAAACAAGAGCACAGGTGCTCTGCAGCTGAGGGAAGTTTCCAAAGCTGGTGTGCAGGTCACTGGGGCTCGGGAAACAGCTCCTGGCCTCCTGGCCACAAGGCTGCTGGCCTTCCTCTCCCATTCTCTCCTCCTCAGTAACCCCACTGAAGCGCCACGAACAACGCCAGCACGATGGACAAGGATGTAGAGGCTTCTGGAAGCCAACAGCATAGCAGTACACAGCCTGGGTGGGACACACACCAGCTATACAAGAAAGAACTGGAAAGGGAGCGGGCCTTTTGCCCTCCCACGTGGCACGATGCTGCCCGTGTGGCAGAAAAGCCCACAAAGTTAATACAACCACACCACCACCCAGGAGGAGCAAGAGGCAGGACGTCTCATAGGAGAGACAGTGCTATATTGGGACTTGGGATTCCACAGAAAGCCACCACAAGAAGTAGGTTTCCCACTTCCCTTAGACTCCAATGTACCCGGCTCTCCTTCTTTTCCCTGAGCTCCTTCTGCTGGACCTCCTGGGCTCATGGTCAGTCATCAGCAGAGGCCCCTAGATCCTTGGCCTCTTCCACGATCTCCCCCCTCTCATCTTTACTGTAACTGAGTGCTGGATCTCCCCTGGGGAGCTGCTTCCCTGGCAGCTCTCGAAAGTAGGTGCTGTTTTCTCCCCACATTCTTGGAACTACTTTGCCAAGGGGTGGGTGGTAGATATTCTTGTTCTTCAATCCAATCTCCAAACCACTGCTCCTCTAACCTTTCTAAAACCTCTCCTCTGCAAAGCCCATGCCTTCAGATCCTGCCGTGCTGCCCATCCTTCTTGTAGGCAGCTGTTTATCCTATCACTTCCCCACTTCCTGGGTTCTGCTCACTGCCACCTGCTCCAGCCCTACAGATCTCCTGCACGATTCCTGGTAATCGCGCTAACCACACAGGTGAGCCTCCGAACACCTGGCCTCTAATAGCCCTTCGTCTCTGCCCCGGTGTCTTCCTCACTCAACTTGGAAACTACAGGAAATCATCATAAGCACACAACATCAAGTCTCTTTGTCCCACTCCTGAAATTCCCTGGACAAAAATAAACCACACCCTTGTAAAAACCGTCTTGCTGCTCACCCCCTGCCTGCCCCTGGCCAGCAGACCGAGGCTGAAGAGGATCACGCAACCAAACGGAATGGCTCTTCCATTCTCTTAGAAAACCATTTGCTCCTCTTTCTCTTCAAGCCTTCATCAGTGCTTTGCTGTTCTCTCCGCAGCTGATAATCATAATTCTTATCTCACTGAGGAAACAGAAGCAACTAAAGAATGTTTCTGCAAGCACCCTCAGGTCTCTTGGTGCTTTTCTCTGGGTGCCAGGCCTGAGCTGGATCAGTGCCCCCAGTTCAGGCCAACCCCTCTGGGACGCTAGGTTCCAACCTTTTGCTTTCTGCAAGACACGAGACACTGCAATTGACAATCTTATCTTCTTTCTCTACTCTAGCACACTCTCGTCTCTGATGCTATTTCCATGAGCATCTAAACAAACTACGATTTCTCTCATCTTCAACTCCCACCTTGACGTCCCTTTCACTTCCAGCTACCACTCCATTTCTGTCCTTTCTATCAAAACAAAACTCCTCGAAAAAGTTTTTTTTTATGTCATCAATTTCTTTCTTCCCATTATGCCTCTAATCCCTTCCAATCTACTCACCATTCCATCCAAACTACTCTGACCTATACTCTTACCACAGTTATCAATGACCTCTGCATTGCTAGATTCACTGGTTACTTCCTGGCCTTGACTGTACTTGATTCACGGGAAGGATCTGATGTAGCTCTGGGATAGTGCTCTGGTCCTCCCGACATCTTTTCCACTGGCTTGCAGGTTACTACACTCTCTTAGTTTTCTTTGCTGGGATTTCTCCTCATCTCCCTGACCTCTAAACATCAAGGTGCCCCACAGGGCTTCATCCCTGAATATGTTTTATTTTCCACCTGCACTCACTGCTTTGGTGATCTCATCCCACCTCACAGCTAAAATTTACATGCTGATCACTCCCTGGATGCTCATACCTTTCCCCTGCACCCAGACTCGTAAATCCTACTGCCTGCTTGGATGTCTGACATGCATCTCAAACATAACATGCCACACTTGGCAAACTTAATCTCACCAAACCCACTCCCCTTCCCCATCTCAGTGAATGATGATGGCATTCTTCTACTTGTTCAATCCAAAAAGTTTGGCATCATCCCTGATGTTCTTCCTTCTCTTTCACACCTCACACCCAAGCAATTGGCAAATCCTTTCTGCCAAACCTCTGGAGTAGAATGAGAATCTGACCACTTTTCACTACCTCCCACTGTTAACACTCTGGCCCAGCACTGGCCTCTCTTGCCTGGAGCATTTTGAACAGCCTCCTGGTCGGCCTTTTTGCTTATGTTCTTATCCCCTTCACACTTTTCCCTTCATTCTTTTCTCAACAAGGAGCCAAAGTGACCTTGTTAAAAATTAAGCCAGGTGGGGCCACTTCTTTGCTCGAATGGGACAACCTCCCAAGTGTCCTATCTCACTTGGGGTACAAGTGCAGGTTCTTCCATTGACCTGCAAGTATCTCTACACGCCATCTCTGCCCTGGCCTCATCTCTGACCACTCTGTCCCTTGCTCAGTCTGGTTTCCTTGCTTATCCAGCATACACCAAACATGCGACACAGCAGGTGTGGTCTCAGGGACTTTGTATGTGCTTTTTTCTCTTTCTGGAATGTTCTTTTCCCACATGACTAGTTCCCTCTCTTCCTTCAAGTCTCTGCTCAAAAGTCACTTAGTGATGCCTTCCTTGGACATCCTATGTAAAATGGCATCCTCTTTCCCCATTCAACACTACTTACTCTTCCTCCCTGATTTAGTTTTATACTGAGCACTTCTGATGACCTAACATGGTCCAGATTTACTAATGTATGTTGTTTCTTGTCTGTCTTCCCCACTAGAACATAAGCTCTAGGAGAGCTGGGATTTTTACCTCTCAGTCACTGGACCTTAGAAGAATGACATATCACGGTGATTTTAAGTGAAACAATGTATAACGAAACCAGTTGTTTCTTATCAATGCTGTAACAACATGTTGTTGCATGAAATGATGTTATGTGAGGACCTGCTGTGTACTACATCACTTGGAGTCACAGTTTCCAAGAACTTATCAATGACATTAAGTAAGGACTTACTGTATACATTTGAACTGGGCCTAATGAGGTTAGTAAAGGTATCAGAGGGACCTTTGTCTGTGTGTTACCCCAGTGACTCCAGGCGTCCCGTCATTAATGGAGAGGGAAGGGACTCTCTGGAACCATTAACACTGTGTGGGTGTGCGGGTGAGACTTCAGAATGTGCCTTTCTAACAAGTTCCCAAATGAAGGTGATGCTGTTGGTTTGGACAGTAAACTGAAATACAGAGGTTAAGTTCTAAAAAATGTTTAACAATGAAGATCTGTATTGGCATATTCTGGGTAGTGATTTTTTTTTTTTTCGCCTTTGAGGCAAAAAGTAAGTAAGGTCTCTTACTTGGTATTTTTATAAACTCACATACAGATCACAGTGACTTCTACCCTAAGCATTTCAGTTTATTATCTTCTAAATCAGGGGTCCTCGAACTTTTTAAA